TCTTTCCCTCATTTCTGGTAGAGATGTGATACTCATGGGTATGTCCCAATATTGTACAATTGCCTGGCAAACCCCCAAGTATAAAGCTCCATGTTGTGCAGACGAACAAAGCATCTGCAGAACTTTTGGAATGTCCTTCCTATTGTAATACCTGAGACATGGTTCTTCGTTGACCAAAGCCTTGAGCCTGAAATAATTGTCAGGAGATTATGCAGTGGAGATAAAAGGGCTAAACAAGATTTAAAATAAATAAACTACTGAGCAACACGAGAAGACAGAACGCAAGAAAGAGCAAAGACTAAGATGAGGAATAAAAATAAAAAATAAAGAGTCGTGATGGTGTTATAAATAAACCAGCAGTGCACAAATTAAAGCACTAATCATAAATTCAGCAATAATGAAATGAAATGCCAGAAGGGCGTAAAACAAAGATTGTAGAAACATACACCAATAAGTGGTTGCAAGTACCCAAGAAGACTTGCCCATATGAATCAATCCCAAATATTTCAGCGCCTTTAAGGGACGTTCCAATTCTAATGGTTGGCCCTATCTTGTTCACTGTGCACTCTGGACAATACCATGATCCTTCTGGTATAGACAATTTCATCACACCTATGCATCTAGTGTGGTATGCCGATGGGCACCCGTCACAACAAAGTAAGGTACCATCCATGCCACAAAGTCGACATTCATCACTATTTCGATCAACGTCCGCATTAGCAGCATCCACATCACCTTTAGTACTCTTGGAACCGCGAAAATTTGAGTTACTTGATGAATTTATCATATGGTTTTCTCCAATAATTCCAATAGCTTCTCTGTTCTTGCAGGCAGAAGTTTTCGAATATCTGGGATGGACCCTTCTGGGTCCATTTTCAGGAGGATTTATGTCATCTGCATCACAATCTACCCCAACTTCTGATTCCTCGCGCGCATCAATCTCAGCTCTTAGCTCTGCAGAATCTAGGATATCATCACATAAAACTTGCAGAATAATTAGCTTCCTACCCACAGGTAAAGAATAATACTCCCTTCCCAAAACTTCATCATAAAACCCCTTCCACTCTGGTTCCTTTGTGTATCCCATAATTGTCAAGTATTGAACCAAGTAAACAGGCCAAGTCAACGTGTCCAGCAAGTACCAGTCAATACACCTGTCAATAAGTTTCAAAATAACCTTTAAATTTATTTGGAAAAGTTTACTAATATAGCAACCTAACCAAATTAAACACAGCATAAAATGAGGGTGATGTAATAAATGACAAAATGGAGAGAATGGTAATGAACATCTAATGATCTAATAGCTCGCTTTCATTTAATATATGATGGTGATCCAATAACCGGAAAAAAACAAATCCACTGACACAAGCATTGCTGGGTTTGTCATGTTCATCCTACAGCAGAATTTTAGTATTTGTTTTTACACAACTATGAAAGACATCTCACTAGATGAGAACTTGAAAGAAAAAATAAACCTAACACAGCCAAGTATGTTTTTCGGTTTTTGATGTCTCTTGTCTTCAAAGAGATGACATAACACACCAGGAAAAGAAAAGGGTATTTACAAATTATAGAGGAACCTAGATATAAGTACCTCACGCATTTTGATGCAAGCTCCAAGCCTTCGGCAGAGAGTGTCTCAAGATGACGCCTCAAGGCACGCATAACAACAAGATGGATGGCATCCAACAATGTGTTAGGAACACGACAATTAAGCGACCCCACAAAATCATCCAAAGTAAACGGACTTAAGAACAAAGAGATGCTAAACGATCGCAAGAAACCATAAACCGAAAAAAGATGTGACACATACTGCTCCGGCACACCAATGGATCCAGAAGAAGGTGGCAGTTCCGGCGGAGGAACAGCAGGTGCCTCGTCTGCAAAACCCAAATCCCTATCCCTACCACATTCAGAAGAATCACTTGACGAATCAGAATCACCGTCAACTTCTCCCTCATCATTTTGAGCAACTGATCCATCATGCAACTCATTCGACGTGGATGGTTCAACCTTATCGGCCCCCTTTGTTGATTCCACACCGCGGCCGTTTGAACCATCTATGGAATTCCCACCATTTTTCAACACCAACGCGTCAAGTTTCTTCCTTCTGACGCTCAAATCCTTGTTGAAATCTTTAGCGTCCAAGAGACTTCCGCGAATCTCACGGCTCTCCAAATCCTCAAAGTCGCCATCTTCGTAATTCACTCTGTACAAACCATCTGCATAATACACAACTTTCCCGAGAAAAACTCCACTTCCACCAAACTCTTTCAGCAGATATCGGCCCAGCAACACAATCGGCTTCATCCCGGTGACCTGTTTCTTGCTTTCTGGGCCCACTTTTCCATCACCAGCAACATTTTCATCTTCATCCTCTCTCCTCCGTTTCCTCGGCCGACCCCTTTTCCGAGCAACCGGAGCCTCCATTCACCAAATCCAATCGGGTCCTAACCCTAAATTCCCTTCGAAACAACAATCCCCAACAGAACTTTCTATAACAAAAAGCTAAATGAAAACTATCCGATACTTCATTGGTAGTTCTGCAACAAACAAACAAAAAAATCTAGGGTTTCTGAGTGAATCCTACAAAAGGGCAACAAGAAAATTGGCAAAGACTATGAAAATTTATCGCTTTTCCCAATCAACCAAAAAAAAAAGCAATTACTAAATCCTGGAGTGTTTTGTCCGAGAATACGGGAACTGAGGAATGGGGATAGAGAGAGGAAAAATGAACAAGCAGAGAGAAAAATATGGTACCTTTATTAGATTTCAATTACCGCCATTGGAGGACGCGTCTTCGGCTTCCAGGGCAGAACAGTGAGGACGACGAGAAAGCCCTAGAGGAAGAGAGAGAATGAGAGAGAGAGAGAGAGAGAGAGAGAGACGAAAGTGAGAACCACGGCCCCTCTCCACACTCTTCTCACCGAGTTAAATTGGTCTCGTACTCTCGTTCAGTTTTTTACGACTCGAAATTTAACTCGTCCGAGTTTGCGTTCAACCCGTCCGATTTAATCATGAACTCGCTTTTTTTTTAACTCTCAATTAAAAAAAAATAAAAACAAAAAAAAAGGTAGCGAACTTGCTTTCTAAATTCGTAAATTAACCAGGGAAACATTTTGGCAAAAATATATTATTGGAAATGATAACGTGGGCGCACCCCCATATTAGGCCTGCGAGCCCCGTTCCTTTGACCATTAAACTAAAGATTCAAAGTTCGTTTGGTACGAGAATTTAAAATATGATGATGTTAATTATGATTCTGAAATTATAATTAAAATTCATTATTTTAAGTTCAAATCATGATTCTAAAACCATGATTTAAAATCAGGGATTTGAATCACCTTAAATAAGAGGCAGGGTTTAGAATCATGAGTGATTCTGGTTTAAAACATCACATCAGATTTTGAATCATGATTCTGAATCATCCAAACTAAATACTGATTCAGAATCACTGTAAACAAACATTGATTCTCAACCAGGATCCAGAATCATGATTTTGGATCCATCTACCAAACGAACCCTGAGGCCTCATTCATTTCACTAATTCGAAGTTTCAGTTCTAGGTTTCTACAGTTAAAAGCTCTCAAAAAATATCACATCTAATTTTTTTCTACTACAGTTAAAAGCTTTCAAAAAATGCCATGTCTTAGCTCGAATTGAAAACTCAAATCCCCGAAGCGAACGAGGCCTAAATGTTCCCATTAATTTTTCTTAGACAAATACTTAAATGCACATTCTTTTCACACCTCGAATCACAACCCAAACTTTATTACAACAATATTTTTTTCATAAAAATTTAAGTTTAACTTTTTAATATTGAGTCTTCTCTCATATAAAATGCACTTTTAAACTCAAATTTTCAACTCAAGTTTAAAAAAAAAATGCCTAAACTTTCATGGTAGTTTATCAAAATGCCATATTTTATTCTTTGTTTTCAAGAATGCCAATATATTGTCACTGGATCATGATGTATCTTTAAATAAATAACGTATTTTTATTGAAATAAGATACTATAAATTTTTATAAGTAATTTTTAATTTTAAAATAAAAGTTCCTTTACAAAACACTCTATTCTAACATCTATTGTGCTTAGCCTCCAAGCTACCATTTCTCACCTAAAAAATGCTTTAAATTCTCTTAAAATTTGTTTTGCATCATATCTCTACATGTTATTCTTTCTCTCTTTCTTTCTTTGTTTCTTTCTTCTTCTTTTTTTCTTTTGTAGAAATTACCCATGATCATCTTCATTTGTATCTCAGGCCCTTAACATTCACTTTCATAGGTATGGTAAACATAACATAAAATATATTGTTTTGACCTAAGGGTTTATAACCCGTTTGGTTCATAGATTAGAATCATGAGATTATAACCATTTTCGATTTACGTGTATTTTTTGTGAGAGAAAATATTGTAGCGAACCATGAACCATGGTTCGAATCAGAGAACGAATCCTCCAACCAAACGGGCATATGAAATTTAGCACAACGATATCATATAAAGGGTTTAAGAAGAATAAATAGATAAAGGAACAAATTGTTTAAAAAGTTCTTGTAGAAAAACAAAAATATAGGTATGAACTAAAAAACCAAATCTGAATTTTTTTTTTTCATCTTTAGATTTTTTTTTACTATTTTTTATCTATTTTAAAACACTTATTGTGTGCTATATTTTTTCTGAAAATAAACATTTTATTAACAAGTGAGTTAAAAGTGTATATTTTAAAAAATTAGGGTTGTTAAGCTTTTAAAAGTGAATGTGGATTAAAGTAAGATAAGAGGATATTCTCATCAACCGTTGACAGAAAATGATGCCAAATAGCAAATGCATGACCATTTTTCAACAAGTAAAATTTAAATTATTTAAACGGATGTCTTTCAACTTTAGAGTTGCCTTCATTTTGTCATTTAAACTTTAAAAGTCTACACTGTACTACTTTAAACTTTGAATTTCTCCCACTTCACTCTTTATGTTTTATTTTCTGTCAAAACCAAATAAAAAATAGCACGCGTGCTTACATGAGAGTTTTAGGATGGTAAAATTGTAGTTAAATTTTTTATTATTCGCATCCATACCCTTTAAATTTTAGGGTTGTCTCAACTTTGCCTCTTAAAGTTTAAAAGTACCCATCTTACTACCTTAAATTTTGAATTTCACTTTGCCCCATTTACTTCAATACAATTAGTATTCGCACACTCATTTACATAGCAATCTGATCACTCAATACGATTTTTCAGTAATACAACTTCTTTTATTTGATTTTCTAAACACATATTGATGACTTTTTTATCATTTTTTTTATTTTAACTGATTTTTTTACTAGGGAGATTGGCTTATGTCAAATAAGAGTTTGATGGATTTGGATTAAGCCCGCAATTTGTTAACAAAATGGATAAAATTGTGACTTAATTTCAACGATTTTAGCATAATTACTCCCTGAATTTTTCGTGATTTAGTAAATTACCTCTAAAATTTTTAATTTTGACAATTAACCCCTTGAGTTAGTAAAATTATTACAATGTGCCTCATTTTACTAATTTTTTTTAAAAAAATTTAATTAGATTTAAGGGATTAAAAGTTGATAAATTGAAAGATTTGTGTTACATTTAATTTGGGATGTTGAAATTTTTCATCGAACATGTTTTTTCGACACTAATTTAACACAATCATTGTCAAAAAAATGTTATATTGCAACAATTGTATAAGTTGAGAGGACAAGTTACTAAAATTAAAAGTTTAATAGGCAAGTTGCTAAAACCATACAAATTCAAGGGTAAATGTGTAAAATACCCTAATTTTAATTGCAATGTAAGTTGCAATCAATGATGAAAATGTCAATATCCAATAAAATATTGGTACCTATATTTTATGAAAATATTAATATCTATGGGAAATGACTAAAATATGCAAATTTATCTTAAAACACTTTATTTTTAAATGAGATTTAAACAACCTCAAATACTTTACATAAATTAAATAAAATTTCAAATAAAAAAAATACTGACTGTATGATATATATGCATGGTAAGAAATGATCATAGTACAATAAATGTCGAGCATATGCTTACAAATTAATTAAAATAATTAAAAACCAACCTAAGGCAACTACCTTGCATCCAGAGTTTCATACAAGCTTAAAAAATATCAATATTAAAAGGAGCTTTTATAAGGTTTGAAGGTATTAAAAAATTGAAATACTTTCTCAGTTTAGATAATATTAATACAAACACATGGAATTTGAATAGTTTTTTTTATGTAATTTTAGAAGACTAATTTTTAAAAAGTAATAAAAAAACATGAATTTAACTACATTAAAAAGTAAATTTAAAATACATGAATTCTACATTCAAAACTAAATTAAAAATAAAAATGATAAATATAGAGTACAAATATTTTGTTGACATTTCCACAAAAATTTCATGATAATTTGTCATTTCACCACTTTTTAAGTGGTAAAAATTCAAACTTTAGGGTAGTATGGTATCAACTTTAAAGTTCATGTGGTAAAATGGAGGCAACGCTACCGTTCAACTTGACATGTGTACAAACAATTTAAAATTTAATTACGATTTTACCCTTTTAAACTCTTAAGCGAGCACACGTGCTATTTTTTATTTAGTTTTAATGGAAAATGAATTGAGAGGAAGAAATGAGAGAAGTTTAAAATTTAGAGTAGTACGATGGGAAATTTTAAAATTTAAGAGAAAAAATGGAAATAACCCCAAAGTTCATGAACTGCCCCTAAAATAAATTTTATTTTGCACGAATAATTGGTAAATTCAATTCCTATAATAAACTTTAGTTATCTTTTCAAGTTTAAATAAAAATTTAATATATCAAATTACTTCAAAGGATAAAATATATTAAAAAGTCAAAGGTCAAACCAATACTACAAAAAGACTTATATGGATGTCCCCACACGATCAGATCCACCCTATTAAAATACGCAAGGCCAAAGGCATCTAATAAGACATAAAATTTTACTTTAGAAAAAAAGAGTATTTAAAAAAAAAAAAAAGGCAACGCACAAAAGAATATTTATTTCCAAATCCAATGCGGGCAGTGAACGGAACCAACTCAAAGTAATAACGAGTCAACTCGTGGACTCGCCCGATTCGAGAGTTTATGAGAAAAGCAAAGCAAAAAGGGGCAGATCATTGACCGCGAGAATTCCATTTAGCTCCATTAAAAGACAAAAAAAGTAATTATAGGAAGGAAAAACAAAGTTGGCGGGAACCATTTCAATCTTTTGGTGGAACCACCCGCCAAAATTCTTGAAGTTTTGAAATAATAAACGGCAATAGGAAAAAAGAAACGTATTTATCAATTTTTTTTTTCTCAAAAACAAAACTATATATTCTTTTTACCTAAATAGATTTCCAAAGGGTTTACGCTTTTAGATTATGTCATATTATGCTCTTAATTCCCTAAATTTGTTTTCTATTTAGATTAATTCGTTGTTGGTTTGTGAAAATCGAACGTTTTTTCAGAATTTGAGGTTTGTTTAAGAATATTTAGGGTCTGTTCGGTTCGTTAATTCGAGTTTTTAATTCGAGTTGAGATGTGATGTTGTGTAAGAACTTTTTACTGAGCAAAAAAGTTAGATGTGACTGTTTCTGAGAGCTTTTTACTGTAGCAAAACTCGAATCAGCGAAAATAACGGATCCTTAGGTTCTTTGAATATTTTAAAAATAAATTTTAACTTAATAACTTATTAATTAATTAATTATAAGTGTGAAATGCCATTTTTATGTTTTAAAAATAACTTCGGGTATCAAGAAGATATTTTAAAAAATTAGAATATCATTTTATTAGAATCTTTTTAGTATCTTCATAAAAATCACAAAAAAAAAAACACATGATACTAATATAAAAAACGAAAGAACAAGCAAGGTGTCGCACATAGTTATTTAAAAGCTATTATAGATTCTTATATGGGTAAAAATTAGATTCTTATATAAGCACAATATCTAAAAGTACAAATTAGATTCTTATATGAGTGCCCACAAATATTCTTTAAAGTTTACTCTCAATCTCAATTTAATCTCTCATTTTTAAAATGTTATATAATTGATTATTAAACTTTTATTATGTTTCAATTTTAATCATTCCGTTAGCCAAACTTTAAATACTTACGGAATATGTGGAATCTAAAAACTAAAATTAGAAAAATCTAAACAGTCTAAAATTAGAAACCACGCTTTTAGCACTCCAAAGCACTGCTTAATTACATTTCTCAAAGAGTGAGAAAAGATCAATCATGACATGCAAATCCAATATATACAAGAATAATTACATTTCTCAATGAGAGTAAGAAAAGATAAATTATGACATGCAAATCCAATATTATAAAAAAATAAAACTTTCTGTGCAATACCCTTCTAAACGATAATTTTGTACTTTCAAAATTTGTTGTGATATTTTTTTCTCCTCTAATTTGTCCTATACAATTATTTTTTCTTTAAATATGTCCTTATCTAAATATTTCTGTGATGTTTCTTTAAAATAATACAACCATGATAAATATTTCGGGCCCGTTTAGTTCGCTGATTCGAGTTGAGATGCGGCTTTATGTGAGAATTTTTTATTGTAGCAAAAAAAGTAAATGTGACTGTTTTTTATAGCTTTTTACTGTAGCAAAACTCAAATTCTAAACTCAAATCGGTGAAATGAACGAGACCTAAGTTTTAAGAGTAAAATGGCACGTTGTAAAGACATAATTATGTTTTTTTTTTTAACTTGAGGTAGGAGATTCAAACTCTTTACCTTATGGTGGAGTTAAATGTGAAATTATTGGAGTTAAGTGTGAAATTACTATTAAGTTGTTAGTAACCACCGTACTTTCTTTGAAAAAAACCTTCTTTTTAGCTCTTAATTAGGATTAGGACACGTAAGGTGTTAGCGAATATCTGATAAATTCTCTCCATTGTTTTGCGCATAAGTTGGGATCGACATTTTTTTTCTTATTTATTGTAAAATAGACATATATGTAATTAACTCTTAAAAATTTGCACAGCTAGAGCCCAAATGTTCTGCACAACTAGAGCAGACGAAGCGAAGCTATTAGATTTATTTTCAACGTTGGATACGTGAAATACAAAACCATTCAAAAATAATTACAAAATTTTGGAAAAAAAGTTATTGCATTGGGACAATCAATTGTTATAATCAGAACAATCAACAAGTGGAGATAAAAGCCTCGTTTATTTCACTAATTCGAGTTGAGATGTGATTTTATGTGAGAAATTTTTACTGTAGCAAAAAAGTTAGATGTGACTGTTTATGAGAACTTGTTACTGTAACAAAACTCAAATTCTAAACTCAAATTAGCGAAACGAACGAGACCAAAAGGAGAATAATAAAGAGATGGAGATAAAATAGAATATGAGATTATAATAATGAAATTATAACAATTTTCGATTTGCATATATTTTTTATGAGAGAAAACACTATAATAAATTATGAATCATGATTCGAATCAGGTACGAATTTCCTTACCAAAAAGTTGCACGAACAACACCAACAAGAAAAAGTATACTTGATGTTATCATCACTATGAGTAAAGTTCTCATATTATTGTCCATTTGACTGTTTATTTCCACGGCTATTCTTGTAGGCATTTTCTAGTTTATAAAGGAACCCAGCTTCTATTATGCATGGAATTTTAAAGGGAAAAAAAATATTGATGTTACTAATAAGAATGTATTTATAATTTATTTTAATCAGTGCATATTTAAATAAAGACTTTGAATTGTTGCGTGGTGTCTTTTCAGATGATATATCTGCCGTGTGTAAAATTATTCTTGTTTTTGTTTTTCATGTTTTTTGAGAAATAAAAAATAAAAATGATTCCAAAACGGTGTTTGACACAATTAAAGATAAAAAACATAAATGAAAATGACTGTTTAGTTTAGTGTAAAATGAGAGAAAAATGAAAAATGATTTTTAGTCATTTTTCATTTTTTATTTTTGTTTTCTCCTCTATCGAGCAAAGAGATAGATATTAATAGATTTTTTTATATTGAAAACAATCTCTTGATAAAACTACTAAACACATTTTCAAAAATGATTTATGTATGAGATTAAAAACGTTTTCATTTCTATTTTTTATAAAAAAATAAAATCATTTTAGAACGAGTTCTAAACACGCTCATCATCATTTGAATAAAAATTTTGAACAAGCACAGTGTCTTTCGAGTTCATCCAAAATACACACACACGTATATATGTATATATACATACATATATGTGTATATATATATAAATATATATCTCGAGCGAGGGCGACCGTAGGACATATGAAAAGGTACCCTGTTTGTATTGCATGTGTCTCTTACTCTGATCTTATACGTACAATTGTTATGGTTTGTTTGGAACTCATCTTTTATTTTTTATTTTTACTTGTGGGCTCAATAAAGATCAATAATGGCTCTCGACACACTGCAAAATGTCTTTCATCAAATTCATTAATGTGGCTCCTCATAATTGCAAACAGCTCTTTAACTAGTTTGATAAGATTTATCTAATTACGTGGGATAATCTTTTCACCCTTAATTCACCTGGCATTTATTATTCTTCTTCTTCTTTATTGATGAAACACCTGGTCTTTGGTGTTGCTCCTCCTCTGCTATCAATATTAGAAACTAAAACAACTAGGTTGTGTTTGGAGTTGTTTTTGTTTTTTTACGTTTTTTGAGAAAAAAATGAAAACGGAAGAGAAACGGTGTTTTGCATAATTAAAGACAAAAAACAGAAATGAAAACGATTTTTTTGTTTAGTGTAAAATGAGAGAGAAATGAAAAACGACTTTTAGTTGTTTTTCATTTTTTATTTCTATTTTATCCTCTCTCGACCAGAGAGGGACATTAATGAAATTTTTTAGACTGAAAATAATCTTTTGATAAAACTACTAAACATATTTTTAAAAATGATTTCTGTCTAAGATTGAAAATGTTTTCATTTCCATTTTTATACAAAAAATAAATTTATTTTATGATGAATTCCAAACGCACTCCTAATATTTTAAGGTGAGACTTGCATGGGATACTCAATTAGGCCTAAAATTTAAAGAATGTTTATTCTCTCAACGCCGGCCTCATGTTGAAAAGTGTAAACAAAAGCACTCTAACGGAAAATGAAAAAAGATTAGCACAACTTACCCAATTCTATTATTGTAACTCGTATTTATATGGATCCTATTTATAGTGCTCATCGCCAATAAATTCTAAGATGTAGGCATAATGTTAAACCACGTTAATCTCTATGTTCGTTTTTTTTTCTTTTACTTCTTTAATTTTTAATATGGTATCACAGTGATTCAATACTCAAACGATTCCTTTGATCATCCATGGTTGACGCTACCAAACAAACAAATGCAACCAAACTATTTTGAATAAGCAACTAAAAGGTCTATCTTCATAAATCTTCAATGAATCAAAAGTATATGAGTACTCTTACACATTTAAATTAACCCCCTTAGCAAAAAAAAAAAAAAAAAAAAAAAACCATTTAAAATAACCCCCCTAAAAAAAAAAAAAAAAAAAAAAAAAAAACCATTTAAAATAACTCGCTACCATTTAATTAAACAGTTTACATTAACAATAATAGAGAGACAATTTTTAAGGCAAAAATAACTCGTTAAGTTTATGCTTCATTCATTTCACCGATTTGAGTTTTCAATTTTAGGTTTCTACAGTTAAAAGCTCTCATAAAATATCACATTTAACTTTTTTTATTACAGTTAAAAACTCTTATAAAATATCACATCTCAATTTAAATTAAAAACTGAAATCCGCAAAGCGAACGAGAATTTAGAGTTCATAAATTTAGGGTGCATTTAGTTCATAGATTAGAATCATGTGATTAGAACAATTTTTTATTTATGAGTATTTTTTATGAGAGAAAATACTGTAACGAATCACGAACCATAATTCGAATCAGAGAACGAATCCATCTACCAAACATCACTTTATTTTGAGAAACGTATATATAAAATAATAAAAGGGTATAGGTGGGTATTTTGAAATTAATCCCTTCGTTTGAGTGCGTGCGCGCATAGACGTCACGTGCACGAAAGATGGCGGGAAAGAGGTCACGTGCCCTCTCACACCTCCAATTATCTCCCCAAACAATTTCACACACATTTCCTTCAATAGTTCAATTCATCATCCCCCGCCATTTTCACAACCTCAGAAAACTCCATCCACCGCCAATTCCTTGAGAACAGAATTCCTTTTGCAAAACACAAAATCGGCCTTTTATTACTAAAGCCTCTATCTTCTTCTATCTTCTCTCCTCACCCGGGGTCTCACACTCCCTCCTGTCCTTCTCACTTCCTGTTCGGACACGTGCAATTGGGAAAGCGTTAGGGTTAGGGTTTGATGGGCAACAAGGTTACCGACGAGCTTGTATCGACCGTCCGATCAATCGTCGGCTCCGATTACTCCGACATGGACTTAATCAGAGCTCTTCACGTGGCCAACAACGACCCCACGGCCGCCATCAACGTACTCTTCGACACGCCCGGTTTCAGGTACAAGCCAATTCTAGAGCATCAGAAGAATCCCGACCTCTCACGTCGGAATTCGATCCCCAAGGCTCAACCGATTCTTGCCAATTCTAAGGAAAATGGCGGCGGTGGCGACGGGAATCGCTCGTCGAGGACCGAAAGCAATGCCGGCGATTTTTGTCGGAGTAAATCCGGAAATGGACTTGCTGAAGACGTCGAGAGTTCGGTCGGGGAGAAATGGTGGCTCGTGGGCCGCGGAGAGGTGGCGGGGCTGTCGACGTGCAAAGGAAGGAGAGTGAAGCCGGGTGATGAAGTCGCTTTCACGTTCCCTTCCAAGGTTGCTTCTAGTTTGCCGTCGCCGGGCAAGGTTTTTGGGAGAGGTCGGCAGGCCGCGGCTTGTTCGGAGATCGTGAGGTTCTCGACGAGAGATTCAGGAGAGGTATTTGGTTGATAATAATGCGAATTTTAGTTATTTTATTTTATTTTATTTTTGTGTGTGTTGCGTTTGATTGTATCATGGGGATTTGGCAGATTGGTAGAATACCTAATGAATGGGCTCGGTGTCTTTTGCCTCTTGTGAGGGATAAGAAGATTAGAGTTGAGGGATTTTTCAAATATGCTCCTGAAGTATTGAGTATTATGGACACCATTCATTTGTCACTAAGGTATTCTTGTTGTGAATATTTACTTCTCAAGAAGATTACTCTATGTTGTATCATATGATTGGTCATTTGTGGTTACACGCTTAGCCTAGCAGTAAATCCGCGCTCTTGTCTCCAATGTTGAGGTCTGGAGTTCAAAAGAAAAAAATAAAATTGATTGGTCGTATGATTGATGTGCTATTGTGAGGTTTTGAATCGACGTGTGCCAATAATGTGTAACTGTATTTTGTTTTCTGGCCATAATGTGATGTATATGACAGCTTATAGCTCTAAATATTGCCTTTGATTCAGTGTATACATAAATAGTTCTATGTTCCACAAGCAACACGACACGTCGCTTAAGGCGGCCAGCAGTTCCACAGAGGAATCAGTTGTTCATCCTCTCCCAACATTGTTTCACTTGCTGGGTCTCACTCCATTCAAGAAGGTAATCATTCTGCATAACATGCAGACCATTTCTTAAAAATTCGTTGCTCTGGCTATATGAATAAATCTTGTTTTAGTGCATGGAAATTTGAGCTTGGCCATACTGTGGAGTTGCTTCTTTCGCACATATTGATCATTTCATTTTTTTTTAATAGGCAGTACTCACTCCTGGGGACTTATGCTCGAGAAAGCGCCCTTTAGACTCGAAGGTACAGAACTGTTGCAGTATTTTTCAGAACAGTTACAATATTTTTCACCGGTCATGTTCATAATGGAAGCTAGATTGTAATATTTACTTGAACAGGGCAGTTCTGGTCTTCATGGCTCAACTTTACATGTGAACAAGTTGAAGACTACTTCTAAAAGTGAAAATGAAGTTGCAAATGAGGAGCCCATTTCGGATGCTGATCTAGAAAACATTGTTGGTGTTGGAGACAACTCTGAGTTAGAGGTATGGCGTTTTAGTGAGTATCTTATGCATTTGTGGAGTTACCTCTTCCTATTGCTTCTAAATTTCCTTGAAATAGTTGGTTTTTAGGAAATGGAGCCCCCTGGTACACTTCACTGTGAACTTCGCCCTTACCAAAAGCAGGCTCTTTACTGGATGACCCAACGGGAAAAAGGACAATGTATGGATAGGGCAGCGACAACCCTTCACCCCTGTTGGGAGGCATATAATCTTGCAGACAAGTATGGTGGTTCTTACTTTTTGTTTTCCTTGTTTCTTTTTCTTTTAAATTTTTGCGTATCTTCCAAAATTTGATATTTACAAGCGTCTTTGTGAATATAGCAGGGGGCTCATTCTGTATTTGAATGCATTTTCTGGTGATGCTACCACTGAATTTCCAAGCACTCTTCAAATGGCTAGAGGAGGAGTACGTCTTATGGCATGCTTTTGAAAGAAATAATAATTACAATTATTATCTTAACTCATTTACAGTGCACTGACTTGTAAGACATTTGAAGATTCTAGCAGATGCAATGGGCCTGGGAAAGACAATCATGACCATATCGCTCCTTCTTGCCCCTTCAGAGAGAAATGATTCATCTGTTGGTCAACTTACAAGCCAGTCCTCTGGTGAAGGTAGTGAAGTTAGCGGCAGTGTTTCAGACAACTCACTCAACCTCCAAAAAAAGACAATAAAATTTTCAGGTTTTGATAAGTTTATGAAGCAAAAGACTAGACTTATGGATGGTGGCAGTTTGATTGTATGTCCTATGACTCTGTTAGGCCAGTGGAAGGTACTCTTGCCATTTTGGTTATTGCAAATTGTTATTCTACATGGGGTAACACTGCAACAATTTATTTTGAAGTCCTCTTATTAGTATCTGAAACATCAATGCAATTTTGTCTGTTCCTTCATCTGAGAATTCTGAACATCTAAGTTTGTTGTCAGGCAGAGATTGAAACTCATGTACAACCAGGAACTTTATCTCTTTATGTTCATTATGGTCAAAGTAGACCAAAGGATGCCAAAATTTTAGCTCAAAGTGATATTGTAATAACAACATATGGCGTGTTAGCCTCAGAATTTTCCACAGAGGTAATGTCATTATTTATTTATTTACTTTTTGAACTGGATAGTGTTGTTATTTAAATGTTATCACTTATAGATTTAGCACAGAAGACAAAATATTATACTTTTTCCTCTCTGTAGAATGCTGAGGATAATGGTGGCCTTTACTCGGTTCGGTGGTTTAGAGTGGTTCTTGATGAGGCACATACAATAAAATCCTCCAAAAGTCAAATTTCTATGGCTGCTGCTGCTTTATTTGCTTGTCGTCGTTGGTGTCTTACAGGAACCCCTATCCAGGTGAAGTTTCAGTGGAAAGTAATGGAATTGTTGGTTTAAGATATTAAGAAAGTACCTGTGAAAAGTCACTTTATTCTTATTTTTTATTCTCTGGAATAAAATAGGCTATCAAGAAAGTACTTGAAGTACTTCCATTGCTTCTCATAGGCTATTAAATCTTGAACTTTGACTGTTGATACACATGTGGTAGTAGATACTATATACCAAATTCGAGTCATTTGGTGCTTCTTTGATTTCCTGACGTTGCTTTGTGGTCACAGAACAATCTGGAAGATCTATACAGTCTTCTTCGGTTTTTGAGAGTGGAACCTTGGGGTAACTGGGCATGGTAAGTTATTTAGTATTTGACTTTGTGTCAAAAGCCCAGGAATTGGACATATGCTGTTCATATTGATGCATATTATTGTTTAACGTAGGTGGAATAAACTCATTCAAAAACCTTTCGAAGAGGGTGATGAAAGGGGGCTGAAGTTAGTTCAATCTATCTTAAAGCCAATCATGTTAAGGAGAACAAAGTTCAGCACAGATCGTGAGGGCAGGCAAGTCACTAGCTGGGAATAGGTCATTCGGTTCAGCGTTTTATGGTAGTGTTAGCTTCTAAAGGTTTTCTCTTTGTTGCAGACCAATTATAGTCCTTCCACCAGCTGATGTTCAGGTGATTTACTGTGACCTCACAGAAGCAGAAAAAGACTTCTATGAGGCCCTCTTTAAAAAATCCAAGGTATATTCTTATGTGTTAGATTCAGCTTGTCAGAAAAAAGATATAGTATTGTGTTATCGTACTTTTACTTGTATAAGGCTTCTTGGTCTATATGTCATGGTTAATATATGTTTTTGAACCATTTAGGTTAAGTTTGATCAGTTTGTTGAGCAAGGACGTGTTCTTCATAATTATGCTTCCATATTGGAGTTGCTTTTACGTCTTCGCCAATGTTGTGATCATCCATTTCTTGTGATGAGGTGTTTATCCCTTCTCCCCCTTCCTCAGATTCGAGGTCTTTATTTATTTATTTATGCTATATTATCATATCTCCCTTTAGTGTATCACTCTGTTTAGCGACACAGACACCAGGAAGAGATTAATTTTACGTGTGAATGAAGATGTAGAGCAGATATACGTTTATCATAGATGATAACTACTCTTCATTACAAAGTTTGGCCCTCAACAAAATGTTGATGAAGTTTTGGCCCGTTTGGTTCATAGGTCTAAACAGAAAAGTTTGAACAGAAATTTAAATTTTGTGAGAGAAAACACTGTAGCAAAAAGGTTTGAACTATTCGAACCTATGAAACAAACAGGGTGACAATTGCATCTACTCTTGCAATTGATTCAATTTTGCTATTTGATAATCATTTTGTTCGCTGACATCTTAAGAGAAAACACCTTTTATTTGTTTATTTGTTTTATTATTAAGTTGGATGCAATATATTCATAAAGTTTTGTTTATTATGAGTTAGCTGTTTTATAAATTGGTATCATGTGATATTCTATACAATCATGTGGTGTGATTTATTACAATTGTGTTTGGTGACGGACTGCTTGGATTTTTCCAGTCGAGGTGATACACAACAATATTCTGATTTGAATAAGTTAGCGAGACGTTTCCTTAAAGGCAGTCAGAATTCCATGGAGGGGGAAGTCAAAGATCTGCCTTCAAAGGCTTATATCCAAGAGGTTGTGGAGGAGCTTCGTAATGGGGAAGATGGAGAATGCCCAATATGTCTTGAAGCATTTGAAGATGCAGTGTTGACACCTTGTGCTCACCGCCTATGCCGTGAATGTCTCTTGGCAAGTTGGCGAAATGCTACTTCTGGGTTATGTCCTGTTTGTAGGTACTTAAGCAACATTTTTCTTTCAGTATGGATTTTGCTTTTAGTTCATCTTACAGTCCTAAGTTTATTTCATGTTACTTTTGTTCTTGTATTTGAAATTTATTATTCTACAGGTCTCGGATCTAAACTTTTACTTCTTTTGCAGGAAGTTCATCAGTAGGCAAGATCTTATTACAGCCCCAACTGAAAGTCGGTTCCAAGTTGACATTGATAAAAACTGGGTGGAATCAACCAAAGTTGCAGTTTTGTTACGTGAGCTTGAAATGCTTCGTATCTCAGGCTCCAAGAGCATTGTCTTCAGCCAATGGACCGCCTTTCTGGACATCTTGGAAATTCCTTTGTCTCGGTAAAAATCGTTCTCCGTTAAATATTTTTGATAAGGATTCAAATCAATTACAAGGAGAAGAGGATGAGGCATCCTCAAAAAATGAAATAAAACGAATATGATGAGTGATCATGTATACCAATGAGGCTAGTATATCTATTTCAACCTTTCTGCGTCCTCTATTTGGTCCTTTGTATTTTAGTTATCATTTTCCATAAAATTTCCATGTGTAATAATCAAATGAACTCAATAAATTTACTGCTTTCCTTCTTTCCAGAAGTAGTATTCCATTTGTTCGGCTTGATGGGACTCTGAGTCAACAGCAACGCGAAAAAGTGTTAAGGCAGTTTTCAGAAGATAGCAACATCCTGGTTTGTAACTTTTGGATCCCATACAATTAAATGTAATATACTTTGCAGCTTGGATTCATTGGTGGTTTGACTGTCATTGCATCAGGTATTGCTGATGTCATTAAAGGCTGGAGGAGTTGGAATAAATCTGACGGCAGCTTCTAATGCCTTTGTTTTGGTATGTTTAATGTTTAAACATTTAACATTAAATTTTGGTATGGGCTTATGATTGCCTGGCTCCATTTAATACTGCGGAACGCGTAGTTGATATGTCTTTTACTTGGGTGCTTACCTCTTGGGTTTTTTCAACTCTAGAAGTTATCATAGAGTTTGGGTAAGATTAAAGTGGAGAGTCTATGCCTTGGTAATATAAAAGTCAGCATATGCTGTTACTAGAAGATCTTTTTTGCTGGGAGTCTCTCTCTTTTGTATTCCTGTTGTTGCTAATGAAAACTGCGTCATAGTGAATTTCTGTACTTAATTAAAGCAGAGGGGGTAGATCATGTTCTGCCACTTTCGTTGGAGTAAAAAAAAAAAAATCGGTCTGCCTTTTGCAGTATGATGGAATTACGTTTGTGGTCCTTATTTACAGGCAATGGTAACACATTTAAAGCATATCCGCCTCTGTTTTGATTAACCTTATTCCTGGGTCCCTTTTCTTCTCTTATCTCTTTTTTCATATTCATTGTTCTATTTTCAACTCTAACCTGCTTTGAGCAAGTTGCTTTCCCCACTCTTTTTCTGGGTGGTTGTTGATTTTTGGCCATTGGCGATTGCATCCATGCGTTTTTAGGATCCGTGGTGGAATCCAGCTGTTGAGGAACAAGCTGTTATGCGAATCCATCGCATTGGACAAACAAAAAGCGTGATGATCAAAAGGTTTATTGTGAAGGTACAATTTCAATCCCTCACTTGGAAGTGTATAGATACCTTATCGCCACATCTTTTCGTCATCTGTGTTTCCTTTGTTGTCACAAGTAGTATAGACTATAGAAGAAATATCAAATGAGATATAGTGACAAGGGTTCTGGTTTTGATAATTTGAGAATTTGATCTGGACTGTGTTTAATCAAATTGGAAGAACAATTGACTCCTTTCTAGTTTCCAAGCTCCAAATAAGCATATCTAAACCTCAACTGTTTAGAATGTCATGGTTACTTAATTTTGGATTCTAACAAATATGAATGCCAACTTTAATTGGTCTGAGTGTAGTTACCCCGAAGGGGTAGCTTCAGTGGCTAAGAACCTCGTCTTACAAGTGGGAGGTCTTGGGTTCGATTCCCCTTGGGGTACCTCCCTCTATTTGTCCCAGTGTGTTCACATAGGAGGGTCTACACACACCCTTAGGGATTAGCCAGGTCCTCAAAGAGGCTAGGACACCCTAAGTTATCAAAAAAAAAAAAAAAAAAGGTCTCACTGTAGTTGCTTTCGTATTCTCGGATGGCAGGGTACAGTCGAGGAAAGAATGGAAGCAGTTCAAGCACGTAAACAACGGCTAATTTCTGGTGCGTTGACTGATCAAGAAGTTAGAAGTTCTCGCATAGAGGAACTAAAGATGTTTTTTGCTTAGATCTCCGAGTAAATGGACTTTCGTCGCGATACACGGCACATATACTTAAACCTTAAGAGCTCTGGTGTTGAAATATTCATAGGCAAGCAAATTTAGACAAGATCGTTATCATTCTCACCAGTCACCAGATGCCAGGTATAAAAGTATTGTGGCTATTTACATTCTGCGAAGAAACCAGAATTTCCGGTTAAGCAGATGAGAAGCTAGCAGATTTGGTTTGAATAGGTTAACCAAATTTTGCTTGGAATTTAATAGCAAGAGATGTCTAGTCTTAGGACTGATGCTGATGTATATATTAATGGCAGAAATGTCTGGTGTGTGGAAATTGAAACACATTCAAATTCAATTGTAATTTTATCTTACAAGAAACTTTTGCCATACTGCTTTGTACTGATAACCGTATGTACTCTCGAGTTCACAAAAATGTACCTTTGAGCTATAATATATCGTATTAAAAACCATTTTATTCACTTTATTATTGTTTTAAAGTTTTGATCCGTAACCACAAGATTGATGATGAACCTTTTCAATTAATTAAATACAGGTAATTACATAATTGTCACGCGGTCATTTAAAAATTTCACAAAAACAATCAAGTGTAAAATGTTTCAGTTTTCATTAGTTTTCAACGGTGGCTTGTGGAGAATATTTTACACCTTACACGATTGTTTCTAGTAAAAAAAAAAAAAAAAAAAAAAAAAGAGGAAGTTATCATACAATAAACACATTATTATCCATTCTAATTTTGAAAAATCTATGATGTTTAATCCAAATTAATCATCACAATCCTAAAAATTCAGAGACTACTAGCACTGAAAAAGCAAACTTATAAGTCAAACATCAGGTGGCAATGAATAAAGCACATTACTGCCCAACTATGCGTAAAAAAAGCCTCGTTTATTTTACCGATTTGAGTTTAGAATTCGAGTTTTGTTACAGTAAAAAGTTTTCAAAAACAGTCACATCTAATTTTTTTTACTACAGTTAAAAATTCTTATATAAAATCACATCTCAACTCGAATTAAAAGCTCGAATAAGTGAACGATAAATAACTGTGTACAAAAGTATTATAAGAAACTAATGCAGTCTATATTGGGATGCAACTTGGAATTACAATATACCATTATTGTAAGGAATCAGGTTTCCTTAAGTAAGATAGCTAGTATCTAGTTAGGTCGTCAAGTAAATTTCCTTACTTAACCTAATTTAATCCAGGAGACCCGTTTAGTTCGCTGATTCGAGTTTTTAATTCGAGTTGAGATGTGATATTATGTGAGAGTTTTTTACTGTAGTAAAAAAGTTAGATGTGACTGTTTTTGAGTGCTTTTTACTGTAGTAAAACTCGAATCGGTGAAATGAACGGAACTAAAATTTGATTAACTTTAGCTTAATCATTGGGTCCGTAGCTAGTTACCTGCTATGATTTACTTGATTGATTATTATTTTTCTGATTTCGCCTATGAGTATGACAAAAGGTCTTTCTCATTTGCACGCGTTTCCCTGCATCACAAATTTTAATACCGGATTGTTTTAACTTTGCTGATCATAGTAATATATAGGCAAACAGTTCGACAAATATAACTTCCACATGCAATATTATTCGTGCGTGTAATTTTTTTTAGTCTTTCATGTGTTGGACTATATTTATTAAATTTTACGCTAAAACAAAAACTGAGTGTTACACATGTAAAAATGATGTTACACGATCATATGAAAAGAGTTACACATGCCTGACTGATTCTGGTTCGGGTGTCAGAGGTGAGACAATTCCACCTAAACAATGATGATGGACTCGAGACAATTCTTATATATATTATATATGGTAAATGTGTGTATATTAACACCTTACCTGTAAATATGAGTTTGTGTTTCATGAACTTGGCACAATCTAAACTACAGCCATGGAGGACTGAATCTTGTTCGCACTGAAGGCATACCAATTCACAGGCCTGAAAACAATTGGCCAGTTCCATCTACTGATGAGAATATCTACAGAGGCAATCTGTTATGCATTCATCATAGCGTTGAAAAAGACTTTCCCATGATCATCATGTAAAATGTGATGATCAAAATAAATATCATCATGGGCAAAAGCATAAACGATTACAAACATAATCATCATCACCGCACTCGTCAATTCTAATATTATTGCTGGTCTCATCTAGCTAGTAACCTTTAACTGATCTTTCTCTTCTCTTTAAATTTTTTTTTTCTTCCTCCAACTTAATTTAATACAATGCTACTTTATACTCATTCACACATGCAGGTAGATAGGTAGTGCCCCTTTGCCTCAACTTAATTGAATTATGCACTTTTTTTAAACCCTTTTAACTTAATTGGCCACAAGCAAAATTATTAGGGTATTTCTTTTTCGTTGAAAATTTGGGCCCGTTTAATTCTTTCATTCGAGTTGAGATGTGACTTTATGTGAGAGTTTTTTACTATAGCAAAAAGTTAGACGTGACTGTTTCTAAGAATTTTTTACTGTAGCAAAATTTAAATTTTAAACTCAAATCGGTAAAATGAACGGGGCATAAAAATTGCCTCTTTGCCTTATCTAAGTTTTGTTTTTTCCTAGTATTTACCTCGTCTAAGTTGAAAAATAAAGGGAAATAATAGGAAATATGCCACTATGTAAAGCTTAAGAAAGTATATAGGCCAACTTTTAGTTATATAAATTAATATGTCATAACTTGTCAAGTTATGGTTCATAATCAGATAAGTTATGGATAAACTTGTCAAGTTATGGTTCATAGTCAGACAAGTTATGGATACAAATCGGGAATAACTTGTCAAGTTATGGTTCATAACCAGACAAGTTATGGACGAAAATAATAATTTAGCCTATTTATTAACTTATATAAACTATTGACCTATTAATTTTAATTGATCTCAAATTTTGACATATTTTCATCTTTCTCCCTAAAATAAATCCCATGTACGTTTTTATTAATGGTAATGTATGCCCTCCAAAGTGCTTGAAAAGCAAAACCCATACGTGGCGATTATATATGTCATGCGTAATACTTTCATGCATCATGGTTGTTATATGATGGTGATTTCTTTTTTCCTTAAAAAAAAATTTTATTGCGTCTACATTTCAAGCAAAAAATATATGCCGCTTGTAGTTTGCAAATTACAATACTCATGTTATGTTTGGCACAAAAATGTATCATAATGTTATGTCAAGATATTATTCCATTTTTGCTATAATGCATATATATATATTAAAATAATGATGGCTGATATTTCATTCAATTAAAACAAATATTGTTGTTATAAATCCTATAGAAATATCAAGATCAATATAACAGCTAATTTATTGTAATAAACAAAATAATCGTATTATTAATTTTACTAAAAATATGATTTTTTTTTAGTAAAATTAGATTTTTTGTGCATTCTTTTCTACTGAGATGCATGACGCATTCATTTCGCCGATTCGAGTTTAGAATTCGAGTTTTGCTACAGTAAAAAGTTCTCAGAAACAGTAACATATAACTTTTTTGTTACAGTAAAAAACTCTCACATAATGTCACATCTCAATTCGAATTAAAAACTTAAATCAGTGAACTAAACGGTTCTGAGAACCTAATAATAATAATAAATAAAGCTACACAAAAAACATATCTTCGGTTCTTTCACAACGCCCTCTACTTCATTGTAGGTTCTTCTGATCGCTTAGCTAATGAACCTATAATTAATATCCATTTTTGCCTACCTAAAATATTCCAGATTTGGCCAATTGAATTCAACTTGATCCATGACAAGATCCGCAACAATATTCTTTAGGACTCAGATAATATCAATTTTTTTGTCACTCTTTTTATCACTTTTTATCTTTATTATTTGACATATAAACTTCATTATCTCATTTTTTATTTAAATAATAATATATCATGTTAATATAATTTACGTTAAAAAGAGATTAAAAGAGTGATAAAAATAATAACTATAACATTTCTCGTTAAATCTTGTAAACAGGTAGATGCCTTGTCCCGTATTTTAATGTAAATTTGCAATTATGAGATACCTTGATTTCTCTGATTTTAGTTCAGATTAATCTGACATTTAAACCCAATAAGCAGAGATTATATTATCGAAGCCAATCTTCAAGATATTCTGATTACTCACAAAATCAGTAAGATTATTCCTATTAGCAATTAAAGTAAAAACGTAATTATCTGAATAATAATAAAATTCGTCAAATAACAATGGGAGTAGAACTAGATTGTGTACTGTTTCTTACAATAAATGCCAACAGAGTTAGGAATAAACTCCTAACAGGGTACCTTGTTAAACAGAGTCTGTGATGGGATACTTGGTTATATATATTTGGAATTACATATTATATATGTAAAGATGCCACAACAATCTCTTATTAGATGTAGTTGGTTTATTTTACCGATTAAATTTTAATTTTAATAAATAATTAAATTTAATTTTTTTTATTATAATTAAAAATTTTCACATAAAATTATATTTTAATATAAATTAAAATTTAAATCGATAAATTAAACAAAACCATGTATTGCCGGGACTATTATATGGATAATTGTTCGGAGGGGTTAAAATAACTTTTTATGGCGGGTTTGTCTTAAAAGTGATCACATGTTTTTTGCTAATGAGATTAGATATTTAATTGTTCAAGAAAAAAAATTAGATATTAAATTAGCTGGCAACTCAACTGGTTCATTAGCGGAGTCAAGATTTATTAATAGGGAGTCAAATTTTTTTTATTAAAATTCTACTAATATGTACATGTATATAACAGTTTTTGTCTATATATGTAACACATGATTAGGCCAATAAAACATAAAAAATTATTAATTTAAGAGAGATTAATTTTAATTTATAACTATTTTAAAATTAAAACCACTATATTAAAAAATAAAAAGATAAAAAAAGGCGCCCGCCGTTCTGTCTCCGTCATTGTCCACTAGTGTCGTTGTCTTATAAATTTCTGGCGATTTTAATTTGATATGACTGATATGAAACACCAATATTTTAAATTATTTTATTTATCTTACTGGTAATTTAGTAGTGTATTGCTAATTGATGGAATGACTTTGATTTAAATTAGGCCAAAACTCTGTATAAAGAGTGTTTTGTAATATAAATTGTTGGACCATAAATCTCGTATTATTAATTCAGTATTACCAACGTTAACTTTAGTACCACATAACTGTGATCACCAGACCTTATATATATGATCTCATACAGTGACGACTTAATCTTTCACTTTAATATAGGTATACATTAAATTTTTTTAATAAATTATCTTAATGAAGACATATAAAAAATATATTTATTTTAATAAGGACTATATTATTTTAACGAGAGATTAAGTGTAAAATTTTAAAATTTTTAAAAATAATATATTTTTAAAAAATATTTGAGTGAGAGCGGCTGTCTCCGTTCATTTTCAAGTGGCTCAGTCACTAATTCCGTAC